TGCCAAGTTAGACAAACCCCACCCTGGTGGTTGCGTGTCTGAAATCCTGCTGGAGAAGAGGACTGGGAAGAGAGTCTGAGTTTGATATCTGGAATCTCATGTGGCAGAAGAGGAGAGATACTTGCAACCTTTATATGCTGTAAATCAACGCTGTGATTTTCTGAGTTTTCTTATTCTAAGACTCCCCATCAAGACTTCCTCCTACACCAGTGACATTTCCTTGCTTCTTGCAAAAACTAGTCCTTGCTTTAATTTCTCCCCTTTTAGCATTCCCCCCCTCCCTTATCTTCTGCACACAAAACTGCTAAATCCTACACAGCTTAATTTGATTCCTTCACCAACAAGATGTAATTCTGCACCGAAATCCCGATACGGGAAGGGCGTCATTTCTGCACAGACTGTGGCGTCATTCTGTGCAACTTGATTTTAATTTCCTTCTTTCTTTCTTTCTTTCTTTCTTTTTTAAAAATGATCATGCAACTTCGAAGACATCCTGCAAGGTTTCCTGTGAGATTTTGCAAAGGAAAGATATCTTACGGAGAAAAATCTCATTGTAAAGAAGAGAGAGGAATTTTTTCCTTCTCCCTTCCAAAAGGAGAGAAAGTCTTGGAAGTGGAACAAGAGATGACATCATTCTCAGCAGCTGCATGGGTGAGCCTCGCTCATTCTCCTGTTCTGCTGTGGTTAAGTGTTTAGACAATGGTTACATGAATAAACAGATCCCTTCCACACCCAGGCTCGCAGCCTGCGTCTAATGATCACACAAATCGGGAGAGGGAGAGCTTAAGGATCACATGAAATGTAACATCTTATTTATCTCAACGCTGTCATCGCTTCTGCCGGCGACACCACAGAACACAGCTTTCATCATTCCAAAACCTTCAAAGCTATTGGGCATGTTGGCTGAGGATGATGGAGCTGTAGTACAATCAGCCTTTTTTCATTCAGGTAAACTTTGGGCAACTAAAGGCCGGGGGATTCTGACTGATGGTCCTGTTCTTTTAATATTTAAACTACTATTATTTTAATTGAAATGCTTTTCACACAATTTCTGGTTCAGTTATGTTTTAGTATTCTGGCTTATTCAAAAATTTCTCTCGGTTCCTCTACTAGGAGAAAGCCACCGTATCAAATGCTTAGCATAGACCATGTATCAGTACTACAATCTACAGTGGTGCCTCACACAACGAGCGCCCCGTAGAGCGATGAATTCGCTCTACGAGGACGTTTTTTCGATCGCTAATGCGATTGCAGAGCGATGGCCTCTATGGCCGAAAATCACACAGCGAAGGTCGGTAAGCGTTTCGCTTACCGACCTTCGCTTTGCGACCCGCCGATCAGGTGTTCGGCAGGTCCAAAATGGCCACCGGAAGCCTCAAAATGGCCGCCGGAAGCCCCAAAATGCCCGCGCACAGCATTTTCGCCCCCTCGTTAAGCGAGGGGAGGGCGCGAAAATGGCTGCCGGCCATTGGAATACCATCGCTGTACGGTGAGTAAAGCTGCTATTGGAACGCATTAAACTAAGTTTAATGCAGTCCAATGGCTTTTTCCTTCCCGTACAGCGATGCTTTCACACAGCGAGGGTTAATCCAGAACGGATTAACCTCGCTGTTCGAGGCACCACTGTACTGTGTTTTCATTGGTCTCTGGCTTTGACATTGTATTCCTGCCTTGAGCAGGGGGTTGGACTTGATGGCCTTGTATAGACCCCTTTCCAACTTCACTTTTCTATGATTCTATGACATTTGTTGTGAGCTGTCTTAGGTCCCGCTGATGAGGAATGGACAAGATACACAGTACTGAATACTTACTGGCTTCCCAGTTGAACCGCCGGGCCCTGGTGGTCCTGAGCCCCCCTGGAATAAAAGAACAAGGAATAAGAGCCATGTGAACAGAACTGGATATGATAAGAATTAAGGGTACAATGGGCATTCACACTTGTTCTTATCCTCAATGAAAAGGGTCTCTTGATACAAGGAGACACCCAGTCAAAAAAACTATCCGTTTTTCGCTCCTGCGAAACCAATAAAAATCGCTCTTTTTTGGGGTCAGTAACATTAAGGCAGAAAAGTGGTTAACTTTTTCCACCAAACTAAAACCAGGGATTTTGTGTTAAAATCTTTGTGTTCAGTGCAAAAAAAAAGAGAGGAGTACACAATGCAAGAGTTTTGCATAAGCAACCAGTTTTCTTGGTGTAAAAACAGACAAAAACACTTAAATGCATCTTTTTTCGCAAAAGAAATGGTGAATTGCCAAAAATGCAGAAAAGTTGTGTTGTGTCACCCAAAGGAGAGAAATGTTTTTTTAAAGTTTTTGTTTTAATCTACAAACACGAAACAAGCAAAGATTCACACCCCGAATAAGAGCCAAGCAAATGGGATCCACGAAGTGGATGGGGCAGGATCCCTGGAGGTTTTCCAAAGCTGACTGTCATGTCTCCTGCTTACCTTTTCTCCTTTTGGACCTGGAGGGCCACCAGGATCACCCTGAAAGGCAAAAAACAAAACAAAACACTTTTTTTAAAAAAATGCTTAGCGATTGATCTTGCCTTTTGCTACAGTTTCTGGGATTTGTGCAAAATACACTTTACGCAACACACCCGTCGCTGTACAAAGCCCACCTTCTTTTCTCCTTTTCAAAACCAGCCATGGAGTGAACACAAAAAGGATGGGCTGACTGATCACAGAGAAACAAAGAGTTTCATAATGCAAGTTTCTTCCTTATGCGGACTTTAAATTCATTAGGAATGCTGATTAAATTATATTTTGGAACGAATATTCTTTTAGTGTTCATTTTCAGCTTTACTCTAATGTTGGATTTCACAGTTCACAATCAGTACCACAATCTGCATCCGGTCTTGTTTTGGCAAACACCTTGGATGCACCCCTTAATGTGGTTTTAGTGTCTCGGTGAAACTGAGAGGAATGTCCTTATGAAGCCAGACTCTGTTATGAGCCAGGACTCCTAGTAGGGTCACCCAGGGTGGAATGGTCACAGCTGAGACACCAGGCTAAGACAAGATTTGCATTTCTATAAATCCCAATTGCTCTCAAACATTTTGAGACTGGATGCTTTCCACACCTGAGTCGGAAGCTGCCTATGCATGGAACATCTTGGTGGTGGTGGGGGAAGACCTAAGCTTCTAAGTGGCTGGAAAACAGGCAAGCCAAGAGGTTCACAATCCTTACCGGTTGTCCCGGAAGGCCAATTCCAGGCGGTCCTGGCTTCCCAGGTGGCCCTGGTTCCCCTGCTAGTCCCTCGGGGCCAACAAATCCTGGATCGCCCTGAAACGCAAACACGGTCATTACGATCAACCTCTCTAACAGATGGACAGAATCACCTCTCCTTCCAGCCTCCAAAACTCAAGAGCCTTCCCTACCTTTTGGCCTTTGGGTCCCATCACACAGATCTCTCCAGGACGGCCCTGACGGGAGCAAAAGACAAGATCTGAGAGGACAGAGCTTTGTTAGACTGAGTCTGATGAACGGGTCGTGCTCTTCAGGGATGGAATGTCAAGTCTTGTCAAAGGAGGGCATGGCTGAGCCTTGAGCTCTCGACCGACCGACCAAAGACATCCTAATTTTATGGCACAGAACTTTAGCTTAGCAGTTTTTATGTATGTACCATATAACTCATGTTTCCTTTTATGAGTTTGCACCTTTGTCGTTCACAAAGTAGTAAAACTAAGGTGGCCACAGGTACTTTTTTTGTAGAGGAAGGTCCTCCTATCTGCCAGAGGACAGTCTCCTTTTTTGGGGGGGAAGTAGCCTCTACTTCACCCCAATTTAAGGATAGAGACTAGAATCCAATTGCTTAGAACCATACATGGAAGGAAGTCCCATGGCTAGGTGGCCAGCTTGCATGCCGATGGCTTGACCAAGCATGGAACCAAGGTGAGCCCAGCATCTCATAGAATCGTACAATAATGGGAGTTGGAAGCGTCCTATAAGGCCATTGAGTCCAACCCCTTGCTCATGTCAGGAATCCAAGCCAAAGCAGACCTGACAGATGGGGGTCCAGTTTTCTCTTGAAGGCCTCTCATCCCTTTGCTTCAATGGCTTCCTGGGTTCCCTTCCACGTGTGGTTGAAAGCAACAGATTTGAGGACATCCAGAGAAACGGGGAAATCAAAGACCTTGAAGTTGTTCATCACGAACTGCTGGGTTGCTCAGCGGTTTAGAGCTCTGGATGTAAAGCCAGAGGTTGGGAGTTGGATTCCCCATTGGGCCTCTTTGACAGGGGCTGGAACTGATGATCCATAGCGGTGGTTCCCCACCTTGGGTCCCTAGAATGTTAATCCAAGAACATCTGGGGAATCAAGTTGAGACTGCAACTCCCAGAAGCCTTCACCGCTAGCTGTGCTTGGCCAGGGTTTAAGGCCGTCATGATCCAAGAACATCTGGCTGACCCAAGGCTGAGAACCACCATCCTAAAATGACTCAGGTACACCACCATTCTTGGACAGGGCGGTGGTGGGGTGTACGGCAACGCCGTGACTGTGAAAATTTTAAACAACTCTGGAAACCAAAATACAAACAGAAGGAGCTGGCGTCGCCATACCACTTAGAAAGAAAGAGGCAAATTTTGGGGTCAACCACCAGGGTCCTCCTTCTCATCTGTACCCTGTAAACAGCGTTTACCTAGCCAGGATTTTATTTGGGTAAAGCCTGGTACAGAACAGGAAAGACAGAGACGAGAGGATGCGGGCAGGGGAGTTGGTGTAAAAGAGCGAGACCCCCGCCGTCCGACTTACGTCACGCCCTGGCGATCCGGGTTTTCCTTGAATCCCAAAGTCTCCTTTCTCACCCTTCTGACCCTGCAGGAAACAAAAGGGAAAAGGCAGGTTGGTTTCTAGTATGGGCCTCCCTCAAAGGAATTTTGGTATTTCCACCAGTATCTATGTTTCCCTAACACATCCTTATTCTGGATAATTTTTTGACTGGAGAACAACACAGCCACATGTGGGTAAGTGAGAAAACTGAAAATAACAACCACCGCTTGTTCTGGTGTGTGGATTCGGTTGGGAAGTGAGGAGAAGGTCAGTTTGTGTTAAAATGGGGAAGTCTAATTATGGCTTCCTACTCATATCTTACTCCTCCTGGATGACCTTTCAGATTCCAGGTGGCAAGAAGGCGATTTTCTTTTAGCAGAACCACCACTTCACGTGTTTTTCAAGAAAACAAAGTTAACTGGGTCACTCTGCTTTGCTCTTGCCTCTTCTTTTCGCCCAAAACTGGGAACCTTACCTTTTGTCCAACGCTGCCAGCCAATCCTGAAGGTCCCTGTGAGCGAAATAATTGGTTTTTAAATTAGTAATGGTTCGCATAGTCCAAACTACTCCAAATGCTCAGGACGGGTTTCAGCAAATAAACATACACCAAAGAGACATATTTGTGTCTACTCTTTGTGATTAGGGTGTCTCGTTTTATGGACCAAGGGTAGATAGAATGAAATATTTGTGTAAGTCCCCTTCTGAAATTAAGGACCATAATCTCAAATAATGTACAAAGACATGACCTCAAAGAGCAGGATGGAAGAAAGACCAGAATACCAATCTACTTACAGATCTGGAAAAGACAAGACTGGGAAAAACACCTGTGCTAGCCCTACATCTATTGCTCCTGTCGGTTTAGATAACTCGTTGGTAATTATATTGATCCTCTGTTCACACTAGGATTGCCCAGGCTGTGTAATTTAGCTCCCGAAGGAGGTGTTTGATGTGTGAAGAGGTTCATTATAACTCACTAACAGATCTGGCAGTACAGCACTAGCTGTAGTTTGAACTTCACAACAACGTCAACAACAAAAATGTGGTGGAGGGGCCAAGGAGAGGAGGAGGCGGGAGGGATGAGAAGTTAATGAAAGAGAGAAAAGAAGGTTTGACAAAGAAGTATTTCTGAGAGTCAAAAGGAAAGGGTCAATCCAGAAAGAAAAGGAGAGAAGGAGAATATAGGGTCCAACAGCATTTATCCTGAATATTTATCCTTCACAGTGATAAATATTTAGTTACAGCATCCTGTGTAGCCAGGTCTGTGAAGATGTACACATCCCTGCATCTGGCCAGAAGCTTCCCGCACTTAATTCATTAATTTAGGTACACGGCAAAACTTGTATCCTTGGACAGAGCCAAAGATTGAAAGTGATAGGATGAATTCAAGATTTCATCTCTCAAGAGGTCCTCTTGGGCCATGTACTCTTTTCTCTCATATCTCCCTTCCCTTGGCCCATCCTCATTTTCCCTTAACTCTCAACCCACACACAGCCAAGTGTCTCCCTGGCCATTGTTCAAATGAGCGTCACAGAGGAGAACAGAAAGACAGAAGGTCTAGAAAATCAAGCACGGGAGCGGGTGAAGCGCAGAGGCCCCTGCCAGTCAGTGAGAAAGCCCAGAAGAGGGTCAGCCGGGCCAAGGAAGGCTAGCTGGCAGAGCCAGGGGCTTCTGCTGCTGACTGACCAAGCTCAGGTCATCCTCAGCAGACCTTGCCTTGCTGAGGTCAAGAAAGCTGAAGACAAGACCATCATCTGGATGGGGAGTAGGAGCGTTTAGACAAGTGATGTCTCTTGCGGGGTTCATTATGGAAAAAGAAAGCGTACTCTGAGGTCACACATTTTTGGGGAGGTGCAAGAGTCCAGAAGAAGCTGATTCCCGCAGCATCTCTCTTCTCTGGCAGATCGAAGCACTCTGTCTACGTTCGGGTCATGGAACTTCACAAGCCCCGCGGCGGTGGTTTGAGTAGAGATTTAACCCTGCCTCTGGCCTGCGTCCCTCTGGACTCCATTTGGTAGGATTCTCTCCCACACGAAACAATTATCTGTATAAACTAGGACCAAGCTGGCAAGTCTGAGATCACAGAAATGGATCACCTTCAAACCCTACCCTTCCTCTCCTGTGAGCTGGTCTTGCCTGTTGCTCTCTGTGTCCCTTCTACTAGCTCCTAGGAGCAATAGTTTCACCCACATCCCCAACCCAAATCTCTCCCATCCAACCTTCAAACAAAACAAAACAGGAAGCGAACATCTAACCACTGCCTGATTTGACCTCCCCTCCACCTTCTTGCATTTTTAGGAGTGACGATGCTGGCGTTGGACAATTAGTCCTTAGCACAGTGTTTCCCAACCTTGGGTCCTGAAATGTTCTGGGACTACAATGCCCAGAAATCCTAATGGTGAAGGCTTCTGGGAGTTTGGGTCCAAGAATATCTGGGGACCCAAGGTTGGGAACCATAGGCTTAAAACATCTCATGTAACCAACATCTCGTCCTCTCTGACCTCAGGTGGGAGATAGCAGGAGTGGAAGTGGGCTCAGAGGCACTCAACAGAGTGACTCTTGAGACAAATGGGTCCAAGTCCTGAGTCAAGTCCCAAGTCCCCACCAAAACCCCTGAGCTGAGTGTGAATCAAGTCAGCAGTTAGACTTGATAGACACGAGTCATGAGCCCCCCTCCCTGGGAGTCAGCCTGTGTAGCTTGGGGCAAGCTGCATAATCCCAGGGCACTCACCAGAAGAAGGAACCAGCAAACCATTCTTGTGTATTCACTACCTGGAAAAATCCTGGAAAGGCTGGTCGCCAGTCAGAATCAATTTTTATGGCACCCAATTATTATATAAAAGAATAGCTAACAAAAGTCTGCATAAACCAGAAATTAATTCCATATCCTGGCAGTTGGGCAACTGATCAAGTCGTAAAACTCTCTACGGGAGATTCTCTGTTTTAAAACAAATGTGGAAACAACGGACACAACTTATCATTTTTCCAGGTGCTCCTCTGGAAAGAATGAAAAAGGAAGCGCCAATTCGGGAAAGAGGAAAACACACCGCCAGGTGTCCAAAATTGTTTTTCCTGTTGTTGAGTTTAATATGTAATCTGTACTGAGTTGTTCCTTTGGGGCACTTTTAAACAATCAATTTCAATCCTGGTCTTTTTCTCCTGTTGCAAAACGGGTTGAAATATGGGCAGGCTTGCATTATTTAATTTTAAATCCGCTCATTGCTTCTTCACCCTGAGAGCCCCGTTACAAATATAAATGCGGTTAGTTAATAATAAATAAATATTGGGACCGACAAACGCTTGAGGAGAGGTGGCTTCTCTTTCCTTCATTTTTAAAACAACAGCAGATTCTGCACGTTCTTTCTGGTGCATTTCCATGATCCTTATCTATCTATTTAAGGTGTAGCCAAAAGATTTTCAAAAGAACTTCTAGCTCAACATGGAGGCTTTAAAAAAGAAAAGAAAGAAAAACACCTGCCACCATCCATTTCACAATGTTGGAAATATGGATGTCTTCAGCAGGGCTGGCCTCCCAAATATATTTATTATTTCTAGAAATCCCAAATCAAAACCAAATCAGGCTGATTTAGACCCTTCATGTGAACACTTGTTTGAAGGAGAAAGGCAGAGGTAAAAAATATTTTACATAAATAAATGTCAAGTCAAAGCAGCATGGCCAAATCAAACTCCAGGGTGAAGCAAGGTGAATTTGCTGGCAGTTTGTGTCTGGGGTACCAGCAGAATGAAACGGGGGCACCCGTCGCTTCACCCATTTTCCTTCCTGATGTCTGGGACATAATGATGGCCTGAAACAGGACATCATAAGGTCTTCTTCATTCCTGCACCTAAGGGTGCCATCAGACAGCTGGAAATGGCACACATCCGATCACAGAGAAAAGGGTGGCTCTCCAGGGAACCTTCTCCCTTAAGGTGGTCCTTCTGTCTGTCAGAAACAGGTCTACCTTAGTCCTCTGAAGTAGTAGTAGCCCTACTGCTGAACCATGAATTGAGGTCAGGCTGATGGCCAGGAAATAGATCCCACCAGACTCCTCCACAAATAGTGTGGATTGCGATTTCATCCCCATGGGGATCACCCTCTAAGTTGCAGGATTCCAGCAGGAACCTTCGACAGAATAGGTGGGCCCAAGAGCAGGTCACATTGCCCTTTATCCCCTCCTGTAAACTGTCCATCTTGGGAATCAGACACAGGACTGGTGGCATGTCTGATTGTTTGACCAGTGCATGACCAGTTGCACCAACCAGCAATGGGAGGAGGATGACAAGAACGCCTGGGGACCCAAGGTTGGAAGCCATGGATCAAAGCCATAAAGATCTCTCTCTCTCTCTCCTTCTCTAAAGAGGCTCTGTTATCCCTGTCTATTTGAATTAAAGTTTCTTTCACCACTTGCTTTATGTTAATTCAAGTCCTCCCTTCCTTTTCTGAGCCTGAATTATTTCCTCCTTTTCTCCTTAGTTTTGTCGTATGAAATGGCTTCCAATTTGGACTCTTTGCTACCTCCCCTCCCCTAACATATTTTATGTATTTTATGCAATTTTTGTTAGTTCTTTTTTCCATGGTTTTCTTTCTTTGGGTAAAGCACAGCTTATTTTATAAACAAAAGTCAGGTATATGTGATGGAGAACAGATGGTCGCTAAGAGATGTTTACCAAGGTCTTCCTGCGCTGTTTGGGAACACAGGAGGGTGGCGAAACAGCTCATGGGTCTTTTAAACATTCCTGAGTTGGAAAAGCATCCGTGGAGTGAACACAGACCGCAATATTTCGTTTCTTCAAATCAGTGTTTCCCAGCTTAGGGGTCATAAGCCCCAAGGGGGTGGCACAGTGTTTTCTGGGGGAGTGTCACCCTCTATGTCTTGTTGCTCCTGTTAAATTCTTCCTTGACATGTCCGAGTGGAATATTAAAGTAGGTGTATACGTGTATATGTCCGAGTGGAATATTAAAGTAGGTGTACACATATATATAAGAGAAACAGGCTCTTTGGAGGGAAAAAGAAGCCTCTTCTTTCTGAGAAGGGATGGCTTTATCCCATTAAAAATGTCTTTTTGTGCAAATGAAGTGGGGGAGATTGCCGGTTAGTTGGTGTTATAAAAGAGGGTCAAAACCAAATAAGGTTCGGACCCACGGATCTCGATCTATGCTTACCTTTTCTCCTCGCTCTCCCTTCTCCCCTCTTGGCCCTTCAGCACACTTTGGAAAAGAAAAAAAAATTGAGAGGAAATTAACACAACAAGAAGGAAGAAGCCAAACTCCCATGTCTTCTCTCCAAACTACGGGGGAACGGCTCACCTGGAGGGGTGCTTCAGGTGAGATGCGGACACAGTCGGCACCCTGGGGGGTTAGAAAATAAAGAAGCATTAAACGCATGTCAAGAAATAGATTTTGCAAGGATCTGGAGGTGCTCAGAGTTCTGCAGCAGGCTGACTTCAGCAGCCCCAAGAGCGTGCGAAGGAAGCCACTGAGTCAAGGCAGGAAGTAGAGACCCACTTACACGATCGCCTTTCTCTCCTTTGAAGCCATGGGTCCCCGGAGGTCCACGTTCGCCTTTTCCACCCTGTATGAAAGAGGAAGGAACTCTTTTCATGCCAAAGAAAGTATTCAAAGGAGCACCCACCGGAATGTCCTTCTGTGGTGCTCAAAAAGCAGACCCCACGGCATATGGTTTATAGACATGGCACCACTCGCATTTCTGTAAAGAAATGGAGCCTCACTTATAAATGCTCTGCCAATGTTCTTCAAGCAGAGAACATCATTTTACCTCTGGCCTAGAATCCTATCCAGCTTTACCTAGAATGGAAGTAGGGATTGGGGCCGGGAGGAAGGAGAAAGAGGAGCGTGGAGTTCGGATCGGGCGGTGGGGAGAGATGGAATGACTCCAGCCCAAATCCTGTTGCTTAGTGCGGTAGATTGTAGGAAAGGAGGCCCCCTGAATCAATGGGGATCTGCTGAATGAACTCCTCCATAAGTCCCATTGATTCAAATGGGTCTACTCTAACTGTGACATGTCCTGCCAAAGTAAGTCACAGCTGACCCATCAAATCAATGGAACTTATGGAAGAGTGGATTTGCAGATTCCCATTGATTCGATGGGTCTGTTCTAGTGCGATTTACTAGGATACGCAACAGGATTTTGGCCGTTTGACAGAACTGGGGGAGGCAATTCTTGTAGTCTTCTGGCCCACTGAGGCAGAGAAGATCTGGGAGACAATATCAGGTAAAACATGGGTTTCAGGTGGGGGGGACTTGAGTCATGGGACTTGCTCTCAAGTAGGACTTAATTCACACAAGTGACTCAACTTTCTTTCTTTCTTTCTTTCTTTCTTTAATTCTCTCTGGTCAAAACGACCACTCTAGACGACTCTTGGACTCAACATGGGGTTTGTTTGTTTATTCATTGACTCAAACTTGACACACGACTGAGATCCCATTCCTCCCTTTTTTATGGAGAGAAAAAGCTTGTTTTTAATAGGGAGTCGGGACTTGGTACCAAAGAGTTGGACTCCACGTTGGTACTCAGATCCAAAGATCGGCCAGCATTCCTGGCTCTGGGTTTCTAGCCTGAAAATCAATAGCAAGCCCAACAGCTCTTCTTAACAACTGTAGTTGGCCTTCTTTATGCCGTAGCCCTTAAGGTTAATGGCAAATATAAAAATATCTGTGAATTTGTACACATCGGATTGTGTGCCTGTAGCGTCTGCAGGTAACAACACAGGGCGATTCAGCTTTTTATTTTATTTTTTTGCAAAAGAAAGCAACCTATTTGGTTCAGATCCTGGAAGCACATGGGAAGGATTACTGGGTTTTGGAATCAACCGGCAAAAATGTACAAATCGGAGAATGTTCCGAGCATACTTTTAAAATCTAATTAGAAGGGTTGTTTTTCCTAAATGCAAGCAAACAAACAGAAAGGAGTAGCAGCCTTTAGGTTTGCCAGCGCTGGCCGCCACGCAGGGAATTTTAGGTGGGGCATTTGGACAGGGCGGTGGGGCGCGACGTGCGGATGGAGTTGGATAAACGGGCAGACCCGGGACAGGTTAGTTGGGTGCTGATGAGGGAAATGGGTCGAGCAGCTCCTGAAAACAGCTAAAAATCGCAGAGTCTGGTTACTTGCACGAAGGTGAAAGGCTTACCTTCATTCCTGGAGATCCCAACGAGGCCTGGAAAAACAAGAATGAAAATAGAATCAAACCTTCCTCTCGAGGAACCCTTCTACCTTGCCAAAAAGGAAGAAGCAAGGAGGCCAAACAGGAGTTGGGGACAGGGAGACAAACATTCTTGATAATAAAATGTGAAAACCAGAAGCTACTGGGCAACTTTGGGTTAGAGATCGGAAGATTTAAAGGCAGCATAACGGGGGCCAAAAGCTAAGAGGTGGCCATAAAGAAGATGTAGGGGGACTCTTTCCTGCTCCCTCCAGAGGATGGATGAAAGAGAAGGAGAATTAATGTGCCAGAAAAAAGAAAATGTAGATGCATTATCAGGGGGCAAGCGGGGTGGAATCTGTAAAAGATGCTGTCGTGGGTTAATGGAAAAAAAAACCTTCAGAAGTATGGGGAAGAATACAGTGAAGATGGAACACAGACCTTGCTTGTCTGGTTTGTGCTGGTGTTGAAGGTTTTCATTCTGTGCAGCAGAATTGGGGGGGGGAAGCATTTCTGGAACTCTGGAGATAGGAAATGAAGATGTGGGTCTTGGGAGATTATCTGGGGGAAGCTGTGGGCAGGGACGGCAGAGAGATGCAGAGCACAGGTAGGTGGCAAGGTTCCCGGGAAACAGCCCTATCCTCAGTCAAACCCTTGCACTACCTCACCCACTGTTGTCAACGTTTCCTAACTGCAAGGGCATGAATCACAGAATCTCAGAGTCACAGAGTCTCAGAATCACAGAATCATACATTTCAAGGTTTTCCATGTAGATAATATTCAGATGTTGTTTCTCATTCCCATCTTCCAGGGGTATGTCTGGGACTCCTGTGCAGCTCGGCAAGGCCACCCAGGCTGGCTCTACTTGCACGAAGCCTGGGGGAAGGGAATCCAACTCCCAACCTCCATAGCCCGATGCTTAACTCACTGAGTTCCCCAGCCAGCAGCTGCCAGTAGTAGATGGCAACACTGAGCCGGATGGACGAGTGGCCATCTAGCTTGGGATGAAGCCACTGTCTGGATCCCCATGGAATCCCCAGTGGTGATACGTTAATGGTTAGGAGGGAGCCTGCTCAAGTCCTGTGTGGCTTCCTCTCCAGCACTGATTGCTCTTCCATGAATTCATGCGCAACTGCTTGGCAGCTCTGTGCTACAGCCCCCACGTGCCCCACAGCAGCCAGTAGGTAAACAAGGAGAAAGGAAAGCACACACAAAAAAGGACTTCCCTCCCCACCTCCTCTTTTTCATCCTCTGTGGTCCCACGTGCCAAAGCAGTTACTATAGGAACTCTCCCCAACATCTGGAAGCCATCCGAGTTTTCTCCATCCAGATGTTCGAGTGGATGCAAGCCAGAAGGCATGAGGGAAAGTCAGGGAGGAGAGTTGTTGGTGATGGCGATGGGAGGAGAGACGCTGGGGAGAGTGTCTTGTGGACAATTTGCAGACTTTTCGGGGGAGGAAGAAGAGGAAATCCAAGCAACTAGGGCTGGTCAAAGGACGTCGTAGGAGACCCATGGTGGAAAGCCATGTTCGAAGAAAGGCCCTGTTGCAACGTTGAATGAACAAAAGAACCGAGGTATGAATCAATGGTCCCTGTTGAGGTTACAACTCTGCAGCAGCTGCTCAGCCTTTTGGGTCATCCGAATTTGGCTGCCTAATGGGGGAACATCCAAGACTCTAGCCTTCTGACATTAGTGTCTCCATTTCTCTATGGGAGCGGAACGGAGATTTCAACATCACCCACAATCGCGAGCTAATGTCCGTAGCTTTGATAATCCTGGATGCGGTGTGGTCCATCACAATTCAAACAGAAAGGGTCCTGGATGGAAAGTTCTCATGTCTGTACTCCAGTCCTCGTCAGAAAAGGACAAGATAAGAAGGATGCCGACAAACTGGAGCAAGTTCAGAAGAGGGCAACAAGAATGATCAGGAGGCTGGAAACCAAGCCCTATACGGAGGACAGACTGAAAGAACTGGGCACGTTGAGCCTTGAGAAAAGAAGACCGAGGGGAGATAGGATAGCCCTTTTCAAACACTTTAAAGGTAGTCCTACAGAGGAGAGACAGATCATGCAACAATAGGCTCAATTTGCAGGAAACCAGATTTCAACGTGCAGGACACGCAACAATGGGCTCAATTTGCAGGAAACCAGATTTCGACTGAATATCAGGAGAAATTTCCTAACTGTTAGAGCAGTACGGTGATGGAACCCATAACCTTGGGAGGCTGAGATCGCTCCAAGGCTGAAGGCCTTCAAGATTGGACATATCAGGAGAAATTTCCTAACTGTTAGAGTGGTACGGCGACGGAACCCATAACCTTGGGAGGTTGAGATCGCTCCAAGGCTGAAGACCTTCAAAGATTGGATAACCTTCCATCAGATCTACTTTGATTTGGATTCCTGCCTTGAGGAAGGGGTTGGACTCCATGGCCCATCCAACTCAATTATTCTATAATGTCCCCACATGTATTCAGCCAAGCCTGGAACAAGCAAAGACTTTGCACATTATTCTACTTCTAAGGAATGAACAGGAAGCCCAGAACTTGGAGAAGTTACTTTCGGAAATTGTGACTTCGATAGCCCTCCACCCAACATAACTGCTGGCTATGCTGGGCTGGGAGAATCCTCAAAGTTTTAATCTAAATAAAGTAAGTTTTAGTCAAAAAAGGAGTGTGCAGGAGGTCCCCGTTTCAAGCCCTGGCAGTTGCAGATAGGGCTAGGAAAGGATCTTGCAGGAAATATTGAGCAGCCGAAGTTTCAAGATCAGAAATTAGTCATTGGTTCCGCTGTTGTACTGCTCTAACAGATTTAGCTTGCACCTTCTAATCGCTTTGTCTCCATGCCTTCCCCTTGCTCTCCTCTTGCCTTTTGACTTTAGCACCAGCTTTGCTCAATGGGAAACATGCAACTTTGAGGAAAAGGTGTGAATATAGGCAAACTCCACCCCCCATTTAATGCTCATTAGAAAATTATTTAATACCAGCCTGTTGACTTACGTTCGTGTGCAGTGACCTCTGTGGACAAGGGGGGCACTGTAAAAAGCAGAAAACAATTAAAGAACTGGGAAAGAACATATTTTGTAACTAGAGTTGCAAAATTCAGAGGACAAACCAATACATAGTGAGTCAGAAGCAAATATTTCAGTATTCCAAGGAGCATTTCTTCAGACGATGGCCCTCGCCCATTTTGTTCATTTGTTTTGATTAGTTCGAAACATGCCCTGATTAATCAGCTTTTAAAGAAAAATATTCGTTGCTCCTGATGCATGTATTTACAAACCTGCAAACAGCGGGTGCCCTCTGAAAAGCGGCGTGTCTCCCACAAGGGAGGAAACGCCTCCGCTCGGATAATGCCCACTGGGAGACCGGACAGCATCATCTAAAGCATATTTTTCTTTGGAGCTGTTGCTTCATTCAAATGCTAATGCATGTAAATTCACTAGACCGATTTGCTGAATTCATCATAGCTCTTTATGATCTAAACTTCATAAGCTATGCCTTCTTTTACTGGGTGACCTCTGTTTACCCATCCTCCATCCAGCCATCTGACGCTGCATTTATGTACTGCTGTGACATTTTTTTATAATTGATATGGAACAATTAAATGATTAATCACTGGATGTTTTTCCCATAATTGGAAAGACATGAAGATGGATCATTTGGGGGCTACATAGGCACCCTCTCTGATGACCTTCAAAAAGATTGGTTTCTATCTTTCTCATTCCTTTACTAAATGCAAGTTCAACAATTTAATAATTATAATACTAATCGTAGAACTAGAGGGCTGGAATTTAAGGTTGCATTCCAAACCTATTTACCCAGAATTAAGTCTCACAAAACACAGTGAGGCTTGCTTTTGAGGAGACACACTGAGGATTACACTATTAAGAACTCCACGGATTGAATGGCAACGGTTAAGCTTGCATTTCCCCCTGGCCATCTTCCTGGTGCCAACCAAAGGCTTACATTTATATCTGAGGGTTTGTGGCTTAACCACGGTTTCCTCCTGCCAAACCAGTTAAGTGTGGGATGCTCCCACTGGGATGGGCAGCTCTGAAGATACTAAAAACAGGCTTCGGACTGGAAGCGTCCAGCAGCTACTGTGGTTTCCCTTCGTTGAGGGCAGCCGATGGCTTGGAATCCCAGTTTACATTACTCTGAAAGAAACGTCAGCTTTGTGGACATTGGAGCAGTTCCTTTTGCTAAGGGCATCCAGCCCAAGGCCAGTGAGCTTAAGTACAGGCTGGACCTGACCACGAGGAGCTGATCTAGTCCAGCGTTCTGTTCAGAAGCTAGCCAGATGCTCAACGAGGGGGACCACAAGCAGGGACAGAATGCCTTAAAACCCAAGAAGTAAGTTTCCCAAGATTTCATGCAGGCAAGGTATAGTGATCGGAGTCCGAAAATCTGTCACCTGCTCTTTAATTTCTGTCTGTTTCAGGTACCCCCAATGGGTTCAGGTACTCCACAGGGCACCTTAAAAAGCCTTGCCATTAAAGTATAAATTGGACTGGCATTAACATAACACATTTCGAAGTCCATTCCAATCTGGATGCTGTTTGTAACTTTCAGGGCGAATTGCACCGAAAATGCCGATGCTGTCGGTGTGATCTGAATTCAGAAACACATTCTGATTCATAGCCCCACTATGCTGGCTTGGTTACGCGAGGTTTATGCATTCAGCTCCCGAGGTGTCCTTATTAACCAAAAAAGCAAATCTGACAGAATTAATGAGAGGAACACTTTGTGAAAATCCCCCTTTG